ATCACTTCCGGTGGCGCAATTTTTACTCCAAAAGCTCGTGCGTAGGCTTCCATTAAATGCTGGTTATCTCGAAAACGAGTTCGGGACACCCTATTTTTCTTTCCAGATTTGGAATCAGCATTAAATTTCAATTCGAAAAATCGAAGTTTTAGAAAAAGCTTAAATCAATTTCCAAAAGTAGGCAGTCACCTTAATCTGAACATTACTTTGAGCGCGCTCCACCCCCAATAAAAAAGTATCTACCCTAATAAGGGGGAGATCCATTCAACAAACTCTTCAGACCGCGCATGTCTTTTCCTAGTGTATTATTTCATTGTTTAAACCGGCTGAATTGAAGTTTATTTCCTTTGTACTCAGTTAATGTGTGCAACTAGAATTTTCTAACCCTACCGCTCGCGGCTAAATTCCATTTCGATCTATGAGTTAATTAAACGGGCGTTCTCTGGCTGTTCAGCGCAGGGGGCGGTTTTAGAGTTAGATACTCATATATTAATATAATACAATACAACCTTTATTAACTCATAGGGAGAAGAAGAATACATAAAAACATTTAGTACTAGAAATCTAATTACAATCATGCAGGATATATATATATATATATATATATATATATATTTACAAAGAAAAAAATAGATACTAAAATTAATGTTTGAGCCTGAGGATTAAATTAACCCTCTTTGATTATTAATAGAGAAAAAAAATTGTTATGGCTTTCCACCACCGCAAGTACAGCAGTGGCGCAGCTCAATGGAGTCAAACGGAAAGCAATGAGATTTTAACGTTTATATTAAATATTTTAAACGGGTTCGTGCTGAGAAAAATTAACAGTTGATCAACATTTGATATTGATATTAGATATGGCAAATTAACAGAAAGCCTGGGATACTAGAAGACCGGAGGTGGATACGGCGATTGCTTTTGCGACCACCTTTTTTTCTCCTGTTAGTATCATAGCGTGGTTTAATTAAACTAAAGTATAACAATTATTTGATTTTTCCTGTGTTAGGGGTTATGTGTAATTTGTTCTAAATAGTGCTTAATAAAATAACATCTAATTCACGTGTTTTTAAACTGACCTCTATATATAGCTAAGTATTTTCTAGATTTATATAAGTCGACTAAAACACATTACGAAGGACCTTTTTTCTTTCAACTGTTGGTCTTATTTAGGCTATACATATCTGTTGAAATAACTTTAACATATAATATATTTACTATATATTTCCGTTCAGTATATATACAGCTGTATTGGACCAAGAGGCCTTTTTTCTTCATGTTATTTAGTTGGTTTGTTAGGTGCTAACTCTACGACCACTGTATTATTTTTACAAAAAAATATTTTGTAAAAGAGTTTCCTGAATGGCTTGTTGTAGACATTAAAAAGTATTGGGTTGATAGCGCTGCTCAAAAAATTCGAATAAATGAATATCATTTCCACTTCTCGTGGAAGATCCATGTAAACTTCTAGTTGAAAAACGACAGAACAAGGTATCCAACAAAAAATGAAACCAAGGACCACGGCAAGTAAAGATCTGGTGATCTCGACTTCGTCTTTTGAGAGACTGCTTTCTTGATGGACCCTTTTTCTTGCTGTAGCTTTATGATGCTCAACAACTTTTATAATTCTTGCGTAGCAAATAACAGCGATGACTATAGGGAAAACTACAAATACTAAAATCATTAATGAAGTAATCACACGTTCAAACGTACGGTCGCAAAATGCTAAGATGCAAACAAATCTCCCTGGATGAAAGTAAAAATTTCCCATTCCGGAGGCTACTATAACCAAGACTAAGCCAAGTGAAAAACACCAAAGTCCGATGATCATGATTTTGGCGGGCTTTGGCTTGAAGTGTTTTCTGTAAATAGACGGTTTTATGACACAGAAGAATCTGTTAATAGCGATCAAGGTTGTTGTTTGCAGAGATACAAGTACCAAAGTGTATCCAATAGTTCCAATGACGGTACAAGAGATGAGGTTTTGTACGTTATAACCCACTGCCGAGATAACGACGGCAACAGGCATGACGAGAACTGCATTGGCTACATCAGACACGGCTAGCGTAGTTACATAATACGACGTTACTTTTCGAAGTCGAGGAAATTTGTAAAAAATATACAGAACGCACAAATTACCAATGAGAGCTATGAGCAATATTAGTACATGGAACCCAGTTTCAAAGACTATTTGAACGATCGTCCTGCTCGCTAGTTCACTGGCCATTGCTTCGATATGGTCCGTTACATTTGACATTGTAGAGCATCGAGTCCTTGGTCGTACCATCAGTAATGTTCTTGCAGTTCTTTTATCCTAAGCTTGACCTTGATGTTATACATTGATGCAATAGGCTTGTAATTCTCTAATTTGTCTTCTATCTTGATTAGTAATATTCTTGTAAACTTTTTTAAAATCTTCTATCTTAATGTGTCCTAAAATCAAACCGGCTCTAGTAGTCTCTTCGCTCAGCCAAGTGAGTGAGTGACGTCGATGTAGATACCAAAAGAGAGAGGTTGCCAATAATAGGATTCTGAGTTCAGTCCTATTAATTATTTTTCTTTTCAATCTTGTGCAATGTGAGATACAGTGATACTCAAAAGCTTTCAGCTGCTCTCTTGCCGACCACTAAGCTAAACATTTGCCGCAATCGTTATTCCATTTTTTTAATGACCAAATTATATTATTCATCTGTTCGGGTCCATAATTTTTTTCCAGTTTTTGGTATTTGGAACTGATAGTGATATGTTCAATAATTGATGATCACTTTCAGGATTTTCACACTCGTATTCTTTTCTATATTACATCACATTCATTAAGCCACCCTTGAATTTAATTACACAACAACAAAAAAAATTAAAAATCTTCTTTATACATATGATATTTTCAAACTTAAATTCAAACAAATAATCCTGTTTGAGGTTTCCTACTGGCTAATTGGTATAAACCCTGACAGCTGATAGAATAGGGCACATCCTGTAGTAGATTCGTTTATTGGGAACATGCAGCTAGGTTAAATTTCACTTGATTACACAATGCATCATATTTAAGCCAAACTTGAAGGACTTTTACTTACTCATCGGTCTTACTTTTGTTTTACTGCTCCGCAGTATCTGGAGTCGTTCATAAAAAAGCACCAAGCAACACGCGCGCTGCGTTCTCAACAATAATTGTTGGCAGTTCCTCAACCATCTAGAACAAACACGTGTGGCAATCGAAGCTTTATTCATCCTGCTCCTCATAAGTTAGGATTGTTAATTTAATTTCCTATATTATTGAATGTCTCGTATTTTGTATTCTTTTAGTTTTTCCCCAATTTAACATATTTGATATACCAATATCAAGTTTTATTTATTCATTAGCATGCAAAAATAAGTCATGCTAAGAAGAGGTGTTTATTTAAAAAACCCTTAAAAAGCAACCAGAGTATTAGATCGGAAAGAACGTGACAAATAATGTGCAAGACGTTCTATAAATCTTAATTTTAGGATTGACATCGGTGATCAAGTGTTTGGATACGACAGTTCTTGTTTTTAATAATTTATAAGTGGTTTTCTCACCTTCCCAATCGAAGGAAATGGAAACTCTAAGAACAGGGATTTTTTATGGGAATGGTAGCTTTAGTACATAGCCAGATGTTTGGAATCCTTTTGGTGCAATTGCCCGATAGCACAATGACGTCACATCAAAACAATCTATTGTTTTAACGCCAAGGAACATGGTCGCCAGAGGGAGTAAAATAGCATCAAAACGAATTAAATCACAATAAAAAATAAATGGTTAATTAGACGGGAAAAGGTGATAACAGATCAATGTTGTACTAAATATCCCGAACGAAAGAAAATTTCGCCTAAATTCCTATCATTCTTGCCCATGTAAACAAACTGTGACGTCATAATGTCCTAGGTCATTTTATTCTGCTAAGGCCTAGGGCAAACGTCGATATTTCCATGCACCAAACTTAATTACATCAAAGAATGCCGCCTCATTATCACCTGATATACATTGCTTTTAATGAGTTCGGTGCATGGAAAGTTCGACGTTTGCCCTAGGCCTAATAGAATCTTTTTCTGTATACTTGATAGTAAACCATTGAACCATGCATCCATGCATCCATCAATCAATAACTTTATTTAAAGAGTCGATGTATTTAGCTCATCAGTGCAAAAGTTCAGATTTTTATATACTCCCCTTCTAAAGTTTGTTTTTCCCTTAGTTTAGTTGGTCACTGAAAATCACAAAAAAACTAATTGTCATTGTGTAATTGGTATGGTATAGTGGACTAAGACGTGAGTGAACGAAGTCCAGTCCATAGTCTAACTAGTCTAACTATGTCCAGTCTAAAAAAAGTGTAAATTCGGACTAAGATGTAAAAAAAGAAATTAACATTGCAAATATGCTTCTCAATTAATAGACCTTTTTACTGCTACGGCAGCCATCTTGAATTATGGGATGCTGAGGGAGCAAACGTTTTTAAATAAGTCTTGAAGTCTTGGTGTTTCAAATATCGTTCCAACTACCACAAAATTCAATTGCTTTTTCGATGTAATTCTCATCGAAAAGTGTAAAGGTATGTAAAAGAATACACTGACAGCTGTGCGGTCTATATTTTTTCTAATAGTATCGAAATTGTATTCAAAACATTAGAATTCAAGATGGCCGCTGTATCTGCAAAAAGGTCCATTGGTGCCATTAGGTCCAGTTTAACTTAAGCAATCTTCTTATTTGCAGTATTTTCTTGCATGCCTAATCAAAAACGTTTACGTTGTAAGCTGCTTTGGCATGCCTCCTGATGATAAACATACGAGAACAAGAGTAAGCATCATGGCAATGTCCAGTGATAAGCAGCAATATTTTGGAGAAGCGGTAAGTTTTTAAAAAAATGCTTATGCCCAGCTCTAATGTTGCAAAAGTTAAGACATGCAATTATTACATAAAATTTACGTCGCTATATGAAACACATCACAATTGCTTCTTTGATCGATGTTTCAAAAGATCCTCAATCCTTTTTATTTTATTTTTTCTTTTCGAAAAAGAGACAGTTCTACTTAATTTATATAATTACCAGAATCGCAAATGTTTTAACGAGCGTCAGCTCCTCAATTGTCTATCATAATTATTGTATGGAATCTTTTCCCATGTATTGTAAAAAATATGTGTTTTTTATCTTTTCTTCTGTTCTTTCCTCGTTCGCTATTTCTTTTTCTTTTCTTTTCTCGTTTATTTTTCTTCTTCTGCTTCTTTGTTGTTTACTTTTGAAAACTGTAGTTAAATATCTAACTTATTTTGTTGTTTACTTTTGAAAACTGTTAAATATCTAACTGATTCCGGCGCACTGAATGATTTAGCGCAATTGGATCATAGGTATAATTAGGTATATAAAAGAGTCTGAAACATGCAGGGGTTTCACCAAGCAACGCATGGAAAATGACATGAACGATCTTTTGTGTTTTTTAAAGCTTTTTCAAGATAAAAACATTGTCAAAATTCATCGTTTAGACGACACAAACAAAACTTGCAGGATCAAACATAGTATCAAATTCTAATTTTAATCGGAAAAAATCTCTCTCATCACAGGAAGCAATTCAAGCGTTCTTGAATTCCTGTTTCCATGGCAGTGTCTTATATATTTCCCTGGAAATTGAACGAGGGCAATGTTTGTTCTTATCGGACGAGCAGTGATTTCGCGCGTTTTACCTAGTAACCAGCGCCCGCCAGAAAGATCATAGGCTTTCGACTCTCGTTCCGTCTATTTTGACAGTATACTCAGTCATCTCAGGAAAGGGTTGCCAGAATTCTAGTAACAAGACGCCCTTTAGGCATTCACCTGGGTTGCCTGTATCAAACAATCTTCACGGCAACACTCACTAGTCCTATGCGGGCATATGATATAGATATCCAATAAACAAAAAAATGGATTAAAAAAATTCAAAAAATGCGATTCCACTGTGCCATACCCCCGAGACATCCGCAGAGCTGAGGCGGCGTATGGACTTCGGACCTGACGGGATTCAAATCCTTCTGCCCTTGGGTGTACGAAATACGCAAGAAAATGTTCTAGCCGAAGCATCAGGGGAGAGACCACTCGGCCCCCAGACCATATCGGCTAATCCCTTGCATCTCTGCCACGCACGGAATCGGTTGAAACTGTAATTTCAAAAAAGTCTGATTTGTTACTTGTTAGGGGGTGTGGATGGGGGTGCGCGATTGTCAGTTAACTACTTATTTTTAAGACAATTGTCGGTTAACTGTTGATAATTTTAAAAGCCACAATATTAACCAAAATAATAGCATGTCAATTAACTGTTAACAAATTTTGAGGACGATCATTTGTTTGGTCACCTGCTATCTGCTTGTCCTTGCAATAGTTTTCATTATTGAAATATCTCTCTGTGTCGTTTCCCTCACACCGTGTCCGTGTCGATTGTGTCTTACAAACCAAGTAATCTTGCGCACTGTGTTTGAATGACATGGTTGCCATTAGTACAGGGAGGGGGGCCGCACGTGCCCCCCAGAAACCTGCTTTTGGCACCAAAATTTAATCAATCCATGTGGGATTCCTGTGGATTGGGCGAGAAAAAGGTACATCGCCCCCCCCCCCCCCCATAGTCGAGACCTTGCCACGCCCATGATAGTTACTGCTATATTAATCTTATCGATTGTTTTTGATTAAGCTATATTAAACATAATGTCTTGAGGTCATTTTACATTCAGTATTTCTACATAAGTATTCCTATAAAACAAAAAAATAAATACTGCTGACACGTAAAAAAGTCTACCAATAATACGAACATCCTTTTAATAGCTTTTAGTCATTATAGTCACTCGGTATTGATGTCATAGATCTCACTGAAGTCAAGCAATATCAGGCTAAAAGCTTACATAGTTCATAAAGATATTATCTTTAAATCATTCATTACTATTAACAATCCATTAACGATATCCGGTTTTTTGTTGTTGTCGTTAAGTTGTGAGCTCAGTTATTCTGTCTTGTTGATCTGCTGTCTTCTTCTCTTTTGCAATGTTCTCTTGCTACAGCACACATACTTTCTGCTGCTCTAACGACCTGAAATGGAGAAAACAAGAATCATTTGTACTTTCGCATTTAGTCAACTAATGTTCTAGCCGTTCCCTACATCTTGTAACCTCCTTTGTTCTGAATTTTAGCATGGGTACTTTCGGTACTTAAATATTAGGGAAAGTACGTTTTTATTTGGGGGGGGGGGGGGGGGGGGGGGGGGGGGGGGGGGGAAGGAGCTGGAGCTTCAGAGAGAAGATTCATGAGTAAAAATATCGACGTTTTTTGAAGCGTTAAATCTTTTTATTTTTTCGATAGCTGTTTCTTTGTTGCCTTAATAGCCTTAGGAGGGTCATGAACTTCTTACTGAGTGAAAGGGGGAGAACTACAACCACTTTTAAAAAGCAAGTTTACTGTGAATTCCCCAGCCCTCTACCCCGCGGGGTGCCAGAGGTTCCTTGTTGTTACCTTTTCTCTTTTGTTTTCCTTAGAGTAAAAGGGCGTACGCTCCTAAAGTCAATGTGCATGCTAAGTCAATGTGAATTGAGTTTGTTTTCCTCCGTAAAGATCAACATGAGTTGAGCGTTGTGCTCATAGAACATTAAATGTAGTGGTGGTAGTGTGTGTGAGTGAGCGAAACGTGTCCCCAATAGACCTYCTCTGCTCGGACGTAATGTTTTTTTCAATTTCAGACCACGTGCCATTCCTTAGGCTCAGATCAAACGTCGAACTTCACATGAGCCGAACCTAATCACATCAAAGAAAACCGCCTTGTTATCTATCATTTCAATTAGGATCGTCTCATGTCAAGTTCCACGTTTGACCTGAGCCTTAGAATATCATTTTTTTGTTTAACGGTTGCGCGTAAGAGGACACATGATTAAGAAAAAAATTTAAAAAAAAAAAAAAAAAAAAAGCAATCTTATTCTCAAGAGAAGGACACATGGTCTGAAATAGAAAAACATTACGGCCGAGCCGAGGACGTCTATTAGTGCGAACACGCTAGGACGACTAGACACTTAAATAAAGATTTTTTAAAAAGAGATAAAAGACGGCCCAGACAGACTCCTTAACTACCGTATTTGTATTACTGACCAATCTCTGGAACTTCTTGATCAAAGTTCGCCAATATAAATAGCCTCATTAACTTTATATTAATCTTAAAGTAAAAACAGACAAAACTCCACCGTCGAAAACATTTCTCAAGATAAATTACTGAATATTCTCGTAGAAAATGATCTTGTCTCTCAAACGTCTGGGGTAGAAAGCGAATCGAATTCAAAATCAATTTGATGAAAAGACAAAGGAAAGAAAGAAAGAAAGAAAGAAAGAAAGAAAGAAAAAAGAAAGAAAGAANGAGAGAGAGAGAGAGAGAGAGAGCTGAGAGACAAGAGAGAAAAAGACTAAGGAAAAGGGGATATACTTCTAATGAGAGAGTTAAGTTGGTTAAGAAATAATTATAAAAGAGTATGAAATAAAGTTTTTGAACAAACCTTGATCATCTCCCTTTTACCAAAGTTTGCACCTCCACCACTAGTCCAAGCACTAGATGGCTGAATACTACAGAAGACAGCCAGAACGAGCAGAGTGCACAAAACCAAACTATTTCTCTTCATGATGACTAAAAAACTAAGCCTTTCCTTATAGACTGTCGTTGTTTTTGTTGGCACGGATCAGATCAGTGGAAATGGGGTATTTTGAGTTTGTATTTATACCTAAACATCCCTCGTAAGAGTGTCTTAATGACACACCGAAATCACTTTAGACTCTGATAAAACAAACAGGACATCCGTCCAAAGTTATTTATCAACTGACGGTGGTCTACTTAGTCGGAAACAAAACTCACCCGATTGTGATGATAATACGGTTTGTGTAAATATATTTAAGCCTTTGATGCAGTGAAACATCGAAATGGTAAAAATCTAGTCCTAGTCTTTGCTACTGTTATAGTTTTCACATGATATACTTTGTTGGGCGTGGAAATGAGTCTGTTCACAACCTAAAGATACCCTTTCTTTTATTATGCTTTCTTTTATAAAACTCTCTTACCTTCTGTTTGTTGTTTGTTTTGATTGCAATCTAATAACTTGACTGACATTTGATGTTTTTAATTATCAGTTATCATAATTGAAGTGCTTTGTTCACTTTGTTCTTTCAAAACGGCCATTATATTCCAGGGCGTTTTGATATCTGTTTCTTTTCTCATACTTACCACGCGGACTCATTGGTGGGAGTTGCTGGTTGGTGTTCTCCTGTGCTTCGAGGGTTTTTCTCCAGCGGTTCTCCGGTTTTCCTCCCTCCCCAAAAATCAACTTAAATTCTAAATCGACCTAGAAGGACCTAGAGGAAAATTACTCTTTCTAATAGTTCTAACCCTCTATACAAAGTTATGTAGTTTTTCTATATTACATATGTGTATAACTTCACCATGTAAAAGCCGATAGAAACCAATATTTTATATTAATGACTGACACAAAAGCAAACAGAAATATAAAAACTGCAATTTTACATCGCTTTTATTGACACTATATTTGTATTAATTTCGCGCCTTAAACAAACCCCAAATAAAATAGTCAAAAAGTTAATATAAGGGGCTGAACAAGTAAGTGAGGTTCTTAATCAAAAAATTAATAACCGTTTTAAACCGTTTTAATCCGTTTAAAGTCTAAATAGCTAGGTACTTAAACGAATTCCGCCTTTCCTTTCAAACATAAAAAGCTTTCATCCGATTTAATACGTTCCCAAATAGCGGATACAAGTACAGATTTTTTATCATATAAATTACTTAATGTACTTAAGTACGAATCTTCAAGCAAAATTTAATGTTCTATTAACGTCGACAAAGGACTGCTGAAAAAGGAAGTCCACTAGCCTATAGTTCTTAAATAGTTATTCAGTATTATGATATAAACTGAAATTTAAGTGACAGGTTGTAATAGTGTCTTACGTTTGTCAAAATCTCCGTTTTCATTTATGTTTTAAAGGTGGCGATTCCGAGGAAATGATCTTAGTGAGTGGGAGGTGAGGCTGTTAAGGTGGCTGACTACTTTGTTAAATAATAAACAGAAAATTAAATGAAATTTCTTTAACCTTAAATTTAATGCTAATTTCAAAAATGCAAAGAAATTGGGGGTGTCCCGAGCTTGTTTTTGAGATAATCACTCCGGAATGTCATGCGTTTGTACAATTTTGGAAGAAAAATAGCGAAAATCAACCTCTGTACAAAAAAAATCAATCATAAAAAGAAAGAGTAATTTTCTACAAACACGTAACTTACACTATATCTATAAAATACTGATAAAAGTTTTTTCAATAAACTATTGTAGACAATGGAAAAACCTTTTTTGTTCAGGTTCTATGGTGTGCAAGTTATCGTAAAAATTGAGCAGAAAACGAACAGAACGATTTTTTTTACATTGTTCTGATAAACAGAATTGTCTTAAACTTTGAAAAATAATGGATATTACCTGTTCTTTTGGAAAATAACAAAAAAGATATATAGTCCCGTGCAAAATTTGAGGGTTTTGCCCTCTTGAAGTTTAAAACGTGTATGGTTCTTCAATAAATTCGTGAAGATTATTCAGCGGTTTTAATTTTGAGCGCGCGCACATCGTGGGCTCAAATCGAATGTTGAAAAGTAGTCAGCCACCTTACTGAATAATGTGCCAATAATGTACGAACGAACGAACGAACGAACGAACGAACGAACGAACGAACGAACGAACGAACGAACGAACGAACGAACGAACGAACAAACGAACGAACGAACGAACGAACAAACAAACAAACAAACGAACGAATATTTTTTCAAGTCTTTGCAGTATTTTGTCACTAGCATAAGGTCCGAAGGCGAGAAAATAAAAAAACACAGGGACGAGAAAAATATTCACCCGTTCTGCATCGTAAAATGTCCACTGAAGTCGGACATTAATTAAGGATTTTACTTTTCACCTAAAAAAGGCTTCAAAACGAATGCTTTTCTTTCAATCTCTCGACCACTCTTTCGTTCTTTCCATTTACTAATTTCAGCTACATTCTATCTAAAATATTCAAATAATTACCAACAGACAACTTTGTTTTAAGATTTATTTAATTTGAGATTAACCCATGTATATTATATTTGGTGTGAGTACATTTAATGCAAACTACAGTGTTTGGAAGAGTACTGTTTTTATAATAACACAGCTAGCATTCCCATATTTTTTATTTTGATCATCGGCTATATTTCATCATACTGTCCGGTAGCTGGTTCTTCAACGGCGTCATTTCTTCACTTCTGCAGAAAGCGGCTCTTCTGTTCTTCATCGAAGTGTCTTTTGCAGTGCTCTCGTGCCACTTTACACATCGTTCCAATCGCTCTCTTTGCCTATGAAATTTTTAAAAATTATATAATTTTGATTATTGCAATTGCATTTATTGCAAAAATGATATCCAAAACAAGTGGTACCATCCAGGATGATTTAAAGTGAAGGTGGCCCCAGCTCGGGTTCACTTGAAAAAATAATCTTTTTAAATACTATTAGTTTTTAGTAAAAATACGCTGGTGATTATAGAAAATCTCGCGCGCTGATTGGTCAAGAAACTCCCACTATCACACGGTAATGACCTCTAGCGAAAATCCAAAATGGCAGCCAGCCGCTTTGTTGCTGTTACCGGGAAAAAATGCCTTTTATCTTCTTCTTTTCTTTTTTTTTCCTCTATTTTTTGAAAGAATCACCTGTGTATTTATCAGTGATTATTGGGAAATATTTACCTCGCCGCTCGAAGACTCGCGTCTCGGTAAATACCCCGATAATCACTTCGCCTTCGGCGAATAATTGTTAAATATATATTATGTGAAGTAGGTATAAACAAACTTGATGACTATTTCACTCCTAGCATTGTGAGTGGCTACATTACTTTAGGTCTCTTAGCTATGGACCACTAGAAGAAGAATTTATTCAATTTATTGCTTTCGGGCTTGTTATTGTTTTAACTGCTAATATTGATAAAAATATAAATAGATAAATATGGAATTAAGCAGTATAGCTCCAAGGAGTAATAATAATCTTCATTCAAAGTAGGTAAAACAAATACCGCATAAATAAAGCTGGTTTTCAATTGTCACATCTAGTGAATTTAGAGTGTTGAGCTTTCAGTACGTAGACGAGGAATAATTGAGGTGGGAGTGAAAACCGATGAACTTGGAGAAAAACTCTTAAAGAAGCAAATAGTCATCATGAAAAACCACCAAGTACCTTCAATACACTGCACCGCACCAATATATATATAGAAAATAATCATTTTAATATCTAATATTAATTCGAAGTTGAAGCCGTAAGGAGCTAGGGGTTTTCTAGAAACCAATGTTAAGAACAGTAAATTGTAAGACAAATATCTTAGTGTGCTGTGCGCTATCAGTGTCATGAATGCATACCGGATAGTGTTCTCGGTGAGATTAATCAATGTACTGACTTAGATCAATTGCTTCATATCCTTATCTCCTCCTCTTTCTTAAATTCCTCGAAACCCACCTTAATTGCAGGCGCGGTTCCAGGGGGAGGGTTGTTGGGGTTTCAGCCTCCTATGAGAATTTTGATTTTTTCCTTAACAGAATGTACTGTTCATTTTTTTGTGGTTCGGCGTTCAGCACCCTCGCTCTTTAAGAAAATCCTGGATCCACTAATGAATTACCAAAAAACCGCTTTCAATAAAATTACTTTCGCTAAAACAGTTGAAAAACTCAAGATCAACGAGAACCATTTCACGACACTTGTCTCCGGAAAAGAAAGACGAGTGACTGATTAACCGTGCAGACAAAACGAATTTGATATCGCATCGTACCTGCTTTAGTTCCCGCGAAATAATATTTCCACCACCGCCGCTACTAAGAGCATGGGTCGTATGAATCGCACAGAATGTTACCAGAACAACCAACATACAAAAGCCAAAACGTTTTTGTTTGATTGACATCATGGTGGTGAAGAATTAGTCTACTCTTCTCGGTGAGGAAGTTGACCTGTATTTTACTCGCGTTTTATTGGGTTTACTTAATAGTGATTGTGCAGTGATTTGAGCGTTTCAATCCTCTATTTATAAAAAAATAAAAATAAAAATAAAAAATCTCAAAAACAAAACAGCAGCAAAATAAATAATAATTATGACACTCTTCAGTCTAACTGGTCAATCGGACGTAAGCAGTTACCTCTTATGGTGATGGCAATGAAGATGGTGTAACACACCAAGCTGTTAATAAACTACAAATCTCAGAATAAGATGCGGGAGGGAATATTGAAAACAATCCTTTTGTGTGTGTTTTTTAAGCGAATACGGGAAATTTTTTTCACCCACTTCCTTAATTTGTTTACCATTGAAAAATATTGGCAGCACTGCACTTACGCTTAATTGGATCCTTAGAAAAGTTCTAATAATGTTTCGTTTAAATGTTACAGTTCATCCATATTTCTTTTATTCTTTAATTAATTCGCAACCTATTGATTCACTCTTCAAAAGTATAGTAAACATATTGGAAAATTAACAATGAAAAATAAAGAGAAACCGTTTGCTACTTGCTCTATGCTAGATAATTAGTATAGAAAATCGCACGATCTCCATTCGGAATTTATAGGTACCAGTGATGATTTGAAAGTTTTCAAAATTGGACGAGCCTTTAGGTGATTCCTGTTTGAGAACTTTCAAAAACATCACGAGTATCTAGAAATTCCTAATTGCACGAGAAGATTGACTCTACAGTGTACAATTTGGGATTCAATTGTACTCCTCTTGTCCAATCAGAATCGAGAAATGTTGTTGAGTGTATTATCAGTGCAGAAATCACTTGTGGTTTGACACTCGCTTGAATTAATCTCTCAAACCATTAATTCTAACTCTTAAAGATAAAGCCATAAAATCTTTGACTTGACTTTAAATTTTTTTAATGAACCTAAATGGTTTAAGATACGAAGAAGAGGATCATTCAGTGTCATTAATGTAAAATTAATCTTAAATCTTAACACCTCCATTCGTCTGTTGACTCAGTAAAACTACCATCAAAGTGTTTGAGAGGCTCATAAGCTTTCAGTATTCTTTACCGAAATTTACTTTTTGGTAGGACAGATAACAGTCAACCTCGGGGGAACCTTTGGGAACCAACACACTGTCAATGAATAGAAATCTTTGATTTAACAAGTTTATAGACGCCGGTTATGAAAGCGCATGATGAGCTTTGTATGATGTCTATTATGATGCATTATGTTCTTCCTGAGGCAATTTTTGATCGCCAAGCGAAGGTCTATTTCTTTCTAATAACGTTTTGTTCATTCTCTTCTTTCAATAAAACAAATACTTCCTACAGTAATATATACATCATCATATTTGTCAACTTTCTTATTATCATCTTTGTCAATTTCTTTCTCCTTTTTTTCTTTTTTCTCTTCCTTCCCCTCTTCTTATTCTTCATTTTCTTCATTTTCTCTTATTATTTAGTTTTACTTTATATCCTCCCTGCTTTTGTTTATATTGTGAGTGATTTTTCCCTCGGTTCCTTAAACTAATATTGAATAAAAAGTCTAATAAAGAGATCGGGCTAAAAAGCTGAAAATGATGATCATACTAAAGATTAATTTTTGAAAAAGTATTAACCGGAGTCTTTCGTAAAGCCGAACATAGTTGCAACCATTAAAAGATAATGAAATAACGAAAGGACTTTTTAAGAGAAGTGATTTATATTTTGAGGAATATTGAGTTTTCTTTGTTGCTTGGAAAAGTATGGCTCTGCATGTGTATGTATGTTTTTCCCCCATTAATAATTTCTGTCATTCCAGTTTCAGTGGCGACTCACTTCTATTCATCCGTAATTTCAATTCGTCGTTAATTATGAGATTTTTTGAGAAAATTATATTATTATGATAAAAGGCTGGAGTTGAGTTTCTAATGAATATAAGGGGGGGGAGAATGAAGAAATAAAGTACAGTATAACTAACCTCTTTGTATTCTCGTGTCGCCCAATTTCCCGCACCCGAAGACATAGACAGAGATTGTTGGAAAGTAGACAAAGTGACGAGTAAAAACAAGGCACTAATGGCAAAGATGCTTTGCTTCATGGTGTCAGAGGGAATAAGATCTTTGAGGCAGTGCTGTTCAGGTTTCTTTAGCGGTTATGTAAGACGGTATAATGGTGTGAAGCTTTTATACCTACCACTGGCTTACGCCAATACTGATGGCGCATTTTTTTTATTTACTTAAGTTCACAGCAGTCGTGATTATTTTAGAGGTTAAGGAGACACCTTAAGTCATTAATACTACCGTTAAGTAACAAAGCGAAAACTAACAATGAAAAAAAGAGAGAGATCAGTTTGTTATTTGCTCCATACTAGATAAATTTGTTGCAGAAATCACATTGCGGCGTAATACTGACTTGCTTTAATCCCTCTAACCATTAAATTTAACTCTCAAAACTAACAATGAAAGAAAAAGTGGTCCGTCTGTTGTTTGCTCTGTACTTGATAAATATTTTGCTGAAATTACATTGCGTGTAAGACCCACTTGCTTTAATCCCTCAAACCATTAAATCTAACTCTCAAAGAAAAAGGATAAAATCTTTAACATGACTTTGAATCCTATAAATGGTTAAACAACAGACTATTAAGATAAGAAGAAGAGGACCTTTTAATCTCCTTAATACGTGTGAAATTAATCTCAAGTCTTTACGCCTCCTTTTTGTCTGTTGACTCAGTAAAACACCATCAAAGTGCTTGAAAAGCTCCTCATGAGCTTTCAGTCCATACCGCACATTCGTTTTGGTAGGACAGGTATGGTAGAAATGGTGACAGTCAACCGCGAGGGAACGTTTGGAAACCAACACACTGTCAATGAATAGAAATCTTTGCTTTAACAAGTTCATAGACGCCGGTTATAAAAGCGCATGGTGAGCTTTGTATGATGTCTATTATGACGCATTATGTTCTTCCTGAGGCAACTTTTGATTGCCACCGCGAATGTTAATTCCCTTCTATTAACGTTTTGATCCTCTTCTTTCAACAAAACCTAGTGACACGTCCGAAAAATGACCGCAAAAACAACGCATACATCCTACAGCATCATATACCTCATTACTGATATTTGTCAACTTTTTCATTGTCATCTTCTTCAGTTTTTTCTTTCACCTTTTTGTTTTCTTCTCCTCCTCCGCTTATTCTTTTTGTTCTTTTTGTTCTTCTTGTACTTTTTCTTTTTCTTTATTTCTCTATCGTGTTTTTAATCTTCTCTTTCTGGTTTTGTTTATTTTGGAGTGATTTTTTTCAATTCCTTAAGCTAATATTTACAAAGAAGTCCATAAAAAGATTTGGCTCAAGAAAAACAAAACAAAGTAAAGTTCATGTTAAAAGATCAATTTTTGATAAAGTATTAGTTAGAGTAGTTTGCAATCATACACATTACGAAATAGTGAGATAACAAACAATTTGGCCGCTATCTTGGCTGTGATAACAGAAGATAGAAACCAAAGAAATTAAAATCATGAATACAAAAAAAATTCTATCACTTAAAAACCAGCAGTTTAGTAATAAATTTTGGTTCAAAATTTCTTCGCTTATAGCCACCTTGTCCTTTTATTTTCATAAATTAAACTCATTAATCAATTTCCCGTAGTTTCTATATTGGTTTTCAAAGAAAATCTTGAATACAGAAAGCATAGCGCCTATGAAAACCAGCAGTTTAGCAAGAAATGTTTTGATCCTAAATTCTTCAACTATGACCACCTTGTATTTTATTGCCAAAAGCTCAACCAATGAGTTCATTGTTGCAGATTGCAGGGGATCGTTTGTGTATCATACGCTGCGCAACTTGTACTTTCCAGTATATTTAGTTTTGTAGGTAAAGTAAAACTATCTTCTACTTTTTGCCTCCTTGCAAGTTGCAAGGAGATTTCCGCGTCTAACCTAATCTCGTACAACCTTTTTCAAAATTTTTTAGTAAGACAAGTTGCGCGAGAAATCGTTGAGTTGAACAGTGCCTTCATCTTGGGACTTCTTAACATGAGATATCAGCCGAGAAAATTGATAGTTGGTGAGAATTGCAAGTATTTTTTAGAAATGTGGCCACCTATCCACTCAATTCCGGTGAGGGCCGGACCACGCAGGGGTAATGAAGAAGGTGTCTAGCCATCCCCCCATTTGCTCAAATTTCTTAGTATTATCCTTAGTAAGCTGCCTCCCTTTTTCTCGCATTCCGCAGTGGTAAAACGTTTTAACAGTCCTAAAATCCTTGGATCCGCCACTGACTTAACTACTTGCACATTTATACGATTTGATACAAAGCTGCATTTTTTTGAATGTTACTTTACTTTGATTAAAATTAATCGATCTATATGCATGTATAGTATTAGCAATGATAACAAGGAAGGATTTTTCGCTAATGGAATAGCCAGGATTCGAAATCTGGCTGAGTGATGGCACATAGGAAAGCGAGGAAAACAGAAGACGTTGATCGTCTTTTTGTGGTTTGGTTTAGTTTGTCGAGTGTTGTTCAAGTCACATGTTCTCTTTTCTAACCAATCAGTACGAAACACTTTTATGATGTAACCGGACTTCACAATTCCACAAATTTAGGGCATTTCTTTTACAAGCAAACAACCAACAATTATAATTCAGAACTAATAATTGAAAAAAAAAATCTTTTGAAAATATCTAGTTGTTTTAGCGCTTTCGCGCTAAATATCAACTCACATGCTAATTTTTCCGAAAGGAAGGAAGCCGTAGAAAACCCCTCTTAGTATAGAAGAGAGCCACACAACAAGCAAACTCAATTCACATATGGTGTCCGCAGGGCTCGAACCAATGCAGACCCGAACCTCCGTTGGAACCGCAATGGTGAAAGATGACGTTATAGCAGCGTACGCCACCATAATACCCAAAAAATGTTCATAATGTAGATGCAAATGCCAAATCTCTGTCTTTCCATTTCAGACCCCGTGTTATTTCCTTGAGAGTTGTGAGCCAACTTCTAACTGCACCTCAAAAGTTACAGGTAAACAAAAGTACTTTATAGTCAAGATGGGGAATAACATGCGCAATTCTGGTAAAAAATGGTATAATTTCTGCTGAAGCTTCATACATGTCCCACTGATATCAAGTATGTATATACGTACACAAATAATTACATCCGAAATATCCATTTTCGCAACATTTTCTTGAATAACATCAATATTGTTGCTTGTCTTCCCTGTGGCCATGCAGTTTCAGTGGTCAACCCCATTTCCGTATATGTCAGAGATGTCTCTCCTTTTACCTAAGATTTATCAGTTTATTGTTGTGTAGAATGTTTTCTTCATTTGTTGTTTTATGAGAAGTGAAAAAATGTGATGTACTATTCGGTTTAATGTCACTCCTTCCCCTCCGGATCACACTACCTCCTCCTCTTCCCCACCTCCACCCACGATAACAGCTCCGGCACCCTCGACAGCTCACTGTTCTTCTATCTAAAATTAACAGTTGAAGTTCTGAAATTCTGTTGCATAGCTAGTATTTATTCTTATACTGCATATATGGAATCCGAAATCTTTTACATTGTGCTAAATTATTAATCTTGATAAGTAACTCTCATTACATATCAAAAATGAGAGAAATTACACTTACAAGAGATTTACATGATCAGTCATGCAGATATTATTTATAACATAAATCTTCATGATATATATCTACTTCGTATATATTCATTACTTATACTTTCGGATCTTCGGCTAACATTATCAAGCATATTTTTAAACTCATAAAATCATTATGTTCACTTTCCAAAATGACGTTTAGGTGCCGGCATCTCCCTCTTGCAGTGTTCTCTCGCTGCCATACAGAAGCTTTCTTTCGCTCTCTTGGCCTAAAAATAAGTTGTTAGTAAGTTGATGATTTGAAAAATAAATCAGGAATGATGAAAAATGATAAAACTAATTCATGGATTCCAAATCCAAGTCCAATTTCAGTCAGTTTCAATTTTTAATTCTAATACTAGTTTTAATTTGTATATAGTAAGTGTATAAAGACATCAAATGCGATAGCTACCTAGAATAGACGACTTTCATAACTCAGTTTTTTCAGATGGAGAAAATGAAGCCTTTTTACCAGAAACTATTAGTGCTATCTGAGAAAATACTTCACGATAACTATTTCCAGAAAATTGTGTAGAATTTGACTGCATACCAAAGAAGTTATGAAAGAACGAAAATAGAGAGTTTTGTATGTATTTATCACTGGAAGCYTTGGTGACCTCGTTTTGGTGCATTTTCAAAACTTCAAATGCTCAAATCTTGTAAAGGATTTATTAATTTAAGTAGAAACTCTACACGCCTTATCTAAATCAACAAGAACAATGTTTTAAAAGGGTTTTCACTCCAAAAACATTGATTTTTAATGTTTATGCAAATTATCAGCAGCCAGTTATGAAAGTCGTATATCAATCAAAACGTAAAATGAGTAGTAATGCCTCCTTTTCTTCTTATTTTATCCTATTGCATTAATTGTCTTAAACTGTGACTGTTTCTATTGATCAAAGATCAAGACCAATAGTATCTAATGAATAAAAGGGGACTGTAGTTGAGTATCAAATAAATAGAAGGGGGGGGGGGGGGGGGGGGAAGGAAAAAAAAACTCTCTGGCATTTCCAATATGAATTCCACTGTATTATTGTGTTTTCCAAATGGTATCTTATGATATTAAGAATATGTTTGCAAATAAAAAAAAGGCGGGGGGGGGGGGGGGGGGGAGGGAGAATGAAGATATAAAGGACAGTATAACTAACCTCTTTGTATTCTCGTGTCGCCCAATTTCCCATTCCCGAAGACATAGACAGAGATTGTTGGAAAGTAGACAAAGTGACGAGTAAAAACAAGGCACTAATGATAATGATGCTTCGCTTCATGGTGTCAGAGGGAATAAAATCTTGAATAAAATCTTTGAAACAGTGTTGTTCAGGTGTCTTTAGCGGTTGTGTAAGACAGGATAATGGTGTGAAGCTTTTATACCTACTACTGGCTTACGACATTGATGGCGCAACAAATCATTTTAAAAATACTTAAAGCTACTATATCATATTGAGTGTCCCGCGGTTATGATCATTATGGAGGCTAAGGAGACATTTGTGATTTATTATTTCTCACTTGACACGGTTTTCTTTGTTATTCACAAGGCTTTATTTTTGTTATAACCCTCATTATAAATGTGAGGTCAATATATAGTTATTAACCCGGTTAATAACTATATATAGACCGTTCGCATTTATAATGAGCAACATTTGATAGAAAACCTTCTCAATTGATAAATAAAATACTTAATTATCTCGAACGTCGGTAATAAGCCTATACATCCCTCGGGCCTGCAGCCCTCGGGATGTATATGGCTTATTGCCTCCGTTCTCGGTAATTAACCCTAACTTAATGACACCGTTAAGTGACCGCCGGAAGAACAAAACAAGCAGCATTTGCTCATAAAAAATAGAAAATACAACCAAGCTGTTATGAAGCCTTCACTGAGTTCACCTGTGTTTTAAATTCAGTCACAGAGCACTTTTATGTACTTGTAAAAGAAAAAGGAAATCAATTGGCAGTGCACTCCCCTCTTATCTCTAGGCCGACGCAGCACCATATTCAAGTAGAGTTTATTGGGTATTGCTTAGTTGGAAGATTTCTCAGTCCAGGTCTTCCAGTTTTCCTCCCTCTCAGGACTTTCTCTTCCTCCTTCTTGAAAAAACTAATTATGCCAAATTCCAATTCGTCATATGTGTTATGGTCATGCCCTGAAGACTTACATTAGTCCTGAGCCTTATTCAGGGCAATGTAATGTAGGATTATTTCTAAAACTAAATAAATAAGGCTATTCAGCCGATCTTGAAGTAACCGTCCACCATATGATCTTTTTTTATTCCATTTATTTTCATTATTTTTACTCTTAAAATTTTACTAAACTTTGCAACCTATTGTAACCCAATAAGCAACTGAAGAAGGGTTGTGTCTTATCAAATCAATTCGATATGTGAACGCTCGGTTTGTTTTAGCTTTCACGGGTTAATACCGCACTAAATAAAAATAGAATCCGATTTTCTTTTTCAAGAATGGACCATCATATTCAATTCAATTCAATTTCAATTTATTTACACTGTTGTTTTCAATTATAGATAATAGAATTACAAGAATATATATAGCTTGAATAATATTTACAATTTTTATTATAATTAACATATTATAGGTGTAAGAGTACGACAGCCAAAGGAGCTAAAGCTTTCTAGTTGGCTGTCGTAATTTTCATTTAGGGTCAAAGAAGAAAAAAGGAGAAAAAGAAAGAATATATAAGTACAAGGCTATAATATTATAATAATACTATAATATTAAATTCAACAGTATAAATCTCAACTATAGCGAAAAAAGAAAAAGAAAAAAAAAAGAGATAAATGAAATAAATAAATATATATATACATATATTATTATATGTATATACACATCTAACCAAAACAATTCTGTAACTTCACATATATATATATATGTCTTTTGTTCTCGAGAGACGAAACAATAGAGAAACAAAAGACATATATGATATATATGTAAAGTTGCAGAATGTTTTGGTTAAGTGTGTACGTGTATATATATCTATCTATATATTTATATATATATATATGATATAACTGTTATTGACTATTGAGTAAGAATTCCTAATACATCTGTTTTAAGGACAAATAAGGAAGACTTTTGATTGATTTGGGTATTGTTTCCCAGATTTTAGAAATACTAAAGTTAAATGTAAATTTGCCATAATTTTTTCTTACTCGTTTTTTATAGAAATGATTATTAGCTGAAAATCTTGTATATATCTGACACAGGTCACGAGAGTCACGAGAAAAAAACTGGAATATACTATAAATAAATATAAGCTGCTAGGGCTATCTATCCTGCGAACGTCTCATATGGTTTTGAAAGGTTATTTAATTGATGATATTTTTATGTTGCTAATTTTGCGGAAGTCGACAGTGATGGCTTCGACACAAATAAACCGGGTCATTAATGATAAAGGATTTAAGAGCCGTTTTGGTTGCAAATATATCGGAGTCTTTATTTTAAACGACTCAATTTTCGTAATATTGGAGTTATCTTTGATGAGAAAGTGTCTTTAGAGAACCAGATAACTTCTACCTGTAAAGCATGCTTTCTTCATATTAGAAACACATGGAAAACTCGAAAACATATTTCTTTTGAATCTTGTCACACTCTTGTACATGCTTTGATCATTTCTAGACTTGACTTTTGTAATTCTTTCAAAAATTACAGCATGTCCAAAACTCGGCTGCTAGACTTGTTTCTGGAAGTCACTAGTGTATTGTCTCTTAAATTTAATAACACCCATAAATGTAGTACCCACCATAAATGTAATAAAAATCAACCATAAATGTAATAACAGTCAACCATAAATGTAACAATCGACCTCACCATTAATGCGATAAAATTCAACCATAAATGTAATAATCAAAACCCACCATAAATGTAATAACCCTCCAACCATAAATGTTATAACCAAGTATTCCGGAGAGTCAAACAAAGTATTCAATCAACAACCAACTCTGAGCAGCATTGCTTGAGTGTTTCGTCAAACACAGTGGGTGGGGTCACATACCACGTGATTTTGCATATGGATGTACATAATATTTTCTCACAAATTGCACGTTCAAGTGAATAGCCTGCGTCAACAGGAGCAAAGTTTCGCCGGCAATTTCGATAATAGTTTAAGAGAGAATTCTTTTTTGACTTGACACAACAGTTATTGCATTTGGGAACCCTGTGGATTGTATGCGAGAAAAATCTCGATTTTGGATCACGGCGTCGTTCCAGCCGGACGATGCTCGAAATATGTTCGGGCATCAGTCGTATCGTAACGTGTCTTCGGAGAATGCTCGGTAAATAAAACAAAACAGAACTAAACTATAGAGTCGTGTCGTAAGATTAGTCATTTCATTATGTAAATACTGTATATTCAACTCGTATCTTGCTTACGTCCTTGGGAACGTAATGCGTGGTGATAATATTCGGCTGTGGCAGCTGTAGAAGAACGAAAGGCATTGGAATATTCAAGCTACGTGCTGCAAAAGACGAGCAACACAAAACATGGCGAGAAAACTGGCTGAGTGAGATTACAAAAGTAACAGACGTGAACCAGGATTTCAAGAGACGAATTAAAAATGATAAAGTCTTCACAAGTGAGAGGACTTTGCTCCCGAAGGCATTGAAATATATAAGCCGATTAAACGATCGATGCGTCTGCATATTGTGTTTACATCGTTGCTACTACACTGTAGGGCAAACTATAAACTTAAGTAATAAAAAAACTGAATCGATCTTTTTTATTCTGATTAATTGATATATTGGTTTTGTTGATGAATGTTTTCAAGTATCTTGGTGCCGGCTGTTGGTAAAATGTGGTCTTTCATATATCCGCAGCACTTCACTTACATTAATATGTAGCGACTAGTAATATGAAAGGATTTAAAAAGCTATTAGGGTATAGAGTCGGGGGTAAAACGTCATCTCGCTTCAAGCTTATCAAAAACAGTGGATGATGCCACGGGTCGCCGGTCACAGCATGCATCTAATTAACGTACTTCCCATTTGCCATTTCGGTCTCAGCTTCTATGTTCTATGTTTCTGAACACGAAAAACGATTCTTCAATACGCCCTTTTCGAGTTCCAAATTACCGCTGTGTTCCTTGATTACAGACTCATTTACTCAGGCTTAGCCTCGAATCAGTGTCTAAATATTCACAAATACCAACCGTAAAGTAAAGAATGATAGATAGATAGATAGATGCTTTATTTAGACTCTTCAGGATTTACAATTTCTATAATGCTAAAATTACTTAATTCTATTTACAACGTATACTAAGCTAACTACAAGTTAATTAACTAAAGACTAATAGTAATACAATATAATTACATAATAAAAACAGTACTTGCTTTCCAAGAGTGCCGTGTTTACTAAGTGTATAAAATTCAATTGAAGAAGTTGCTGCAGCCTATTCGAAATTGAATCAGAGTGCTTGCTTGCCGCAACTCACATGGAAGGCTATTCCATAGCACTGCACCATCATAGCTAAAACTATTATTTAGATAATTGGTGCGTGGCCTAGGAATAGCTAGTTTGCCTTCGGTGTTTATCAAAGAATAATTTGTTATGCTGCTACGATCGATAAAAATAGAACTCAGATATGCTGGTGTGAGATTATGCAGTGATTTATAGACCATAACAGCTTTTTGTATTTTTCGTTGGACTTCTAGTTTTTTTCTAGGGTTATTATGTTTATTAGCGTGTTTACCTAACCTGCTATATATAAATTCACTGATTATTCAGATGGATTGCTGTGCCTCCCAGTGAGATTCTTTACGTCTAATATGTCATCATTAGGAATGCTATGAGGTCATAATATCTTTATAGATTGCGTAGCTTGTCATCTGTGTGGTGATTGCTGAAGGGGTTAGGGAGCAGGGAAATGGGAGGGGTTAGATAGAAACATATAAGGCATGATGAACAAAAGATGTTTGTACCGAAGCTAGACCGCCAATGCACCATGTTAGCTATCTCAGAACAGGTCTATGGTTTGGTCTGTCAAGGTCAGGGACTTCTTTTCGCGATATAAGGAAGATCAAGATAGTTGTAAAGTTTTGCTTTTTGGCAAAAATGTTCTCTTAAACTAAAGGAAATATGCTGAAGTAATTCTAGCAGTGAAATTTTGCTCAAAACTGGAAAGAATTAGCTGATTCAGACAAATTATGCCAAGAAAAGCGCTTGCACAATCCTAAATAGCGTACATCAGAGGTAATTTTGGAATATTGAGGACAATTTTTTCTGGCCCTTCGGTGTCCGTATTTAAGAGGTTCCAATATATTGGGCTACAAAAGAAATGCTGGCTGATTAGCTAATTCGTTCGGGCTGAGTGAAACAAAATCACCCAATACTAAAGCAATAGAACATTCTGGTATTAATTTTGACACAACTCGTTTTAAGGGAGTAGGGTCAAGTGATCTCTTAGTACAAACGCCACATAAAAGAATGAAAGAATGGAACAATCTGAGTGACACTCTTAAACAGTGTTCTAATATTAACCATTTTAAATCGAATTTCTTTTAAACCTGTAAACCTAAATAATCTGAACTTTTCATCTTTTACAATTTTACATACTAGTAATAATGATGTTGACTTTTCAGTGACGAGCTGGTTTCGATATTCAACCTCCAAATTCTCTTTTTGCATATTATTTTGTAACATCTTACTTATCAGGACCTTCTTGAAAATCACATTTATAAGTGAAGAAGCTTCCTGTTAAAATATGAATGTAAATAAATAAATAAATTTGTGTCAATCCAAAAACTCATAAGGGGGTCGAAACGTGTTACAGCCATACATTTCTTTAGTGCTATGCTCCGGAATATCCAAATAATTTGTTGATGAAAATATTTTCCCTGAGAGATTCAGTAAATTTTTCTTCTAAAAGTCAGGAAATTCAGAGAAAAGTTAAATAAGTCCAAAAGCGGCCATCTTGAAATAAGCTTAAAATTCCAAATATGGTATAAAAACTCCTAATTCGCATATATCAATATTCCGGAGCATGAGTTTTTTGACCAATCATAGCCGTTTACTCACATGCAATAGTGGGTCTAAGAATCGAAATCTGCTAGCACTGCAGTGTTGAGAGTCGGTTCAATTTCAGCGCACATGCTTTATCGGTGCTTCTTGGCAACAAGCATTTACTCCACAACAGCAACAGCAACAACGACAACGACAACGACAACAACAAATCACAGTTATAAGTTAAGTTACTATGAGACCTTTATTGTAGTATATTTTCCTTCAATTAATTTTAGTTGTACTCTCTCATAATTATATTTAGACCTGAGAGTATCACGAAGAGAATGAAGTCACGAAGCTAATTTACATAAGTTAAAGAGCTTGAGTAGGCTAGCTTTCGGATGTACTATATATATTATGTATTTTCTTGAGTTTCAAATTTCTACTTTATCCGCAATGTTATTTTTTTGTTTTGTCTTCGGATGTTTTTTCTGACCGACTGGCTATTTTAGAAATCTCCCTCTTGCCAGTGCCCATAAATTCTCCAAATCGGTTGGCGATTGGTGGAAGTTCTCTCTTGCCAGTGCCCATAAATTCTCCAAATCGGTTGGCGATTGGTGGGAGTTCCCTCTTGCCAGTGCCCATAAATTCTCCAAATCGGTTGGCGATTGGTGGAAGTTCCCTCTTGCCAGTGCCCATAAATTCTCCAAATCGGTT